ATATCAGAAGTGATCTGTTCTGAATATAAAGGAAGGAATCTTGTCCAAAGCAAGTGCCTTGGATGGATGTACATGTCCATCCATAACAGATGCATGAGAATAATATGAGGCTTAGATTGAAAATATATGATTTCTGAACTTTACAAAACTACTCCTGGGTCAAGCTGGGCTTTGAACCAGGTTCAGGTGACTGTAAAGTCATACACACACACACATACATATACTCATATCTATAAGATTTATTGCTTGAAAGGAAGAGTGACATAAAAGGGAGAGATAGAAAGGAGAGATCTGCCATTCATTGTTTCATTCCTCAAATACCTGCAATAGCTGGTGCTGGACCAAGCTAAAAGTGAGAGTCCAGAACTCTATCTGAGTCTCACATCTGGGTGATAGGAACCCAGGTGCATGAGCCTTTATCTCCTGCAATCCAGAGTGTGCACCAGCAGGAAGCTGGGTAAAAATCCAAGGCAGGACTTGATCCCGATCACTCTGATATGAGATGAGGGTATCCCTCCAAGAGGGATATCCCGCAGGGCCCATCATAACACCTAGATTATATTGCATCCAACCTCATGTCTGAAGCCTCCCTGCCCCAAACCACAACCATATAGTCTGTAGGTCTTATCCTCAAGCTAAAGCTTTGTGACAATTCTGCATGATTACAAGAGCAGCTCAGTCACTATGAGGGCAAACCCGACAGGTAACTTTGTTGAAGAAACTCTTAACTTCTGATCGGCAAAGGAGGCACATGGAGGAGGTTAGAAGAGGCTTTATTAGACAAAACAAACTCATCAGTACTTCAGCAAGCTGCCTAGCACTGTGCAAACAACGAAGATGGGATAAAGAATCAGGCTTCATTTCCATCTAAATTGAGTAATATGCAGCCCAAACAGCGATACTACAGAGCTCATTGATTTACCTGTGCCAGGCACCTGGTGGGTTTAGAATCTCTGGAACTGGTCTCAAGGGCTACATTTACAGTGCCAAACTTAAGAACCGTATGCATGGGAAGAGCTGTGGAGCTTCTCTTCCTTCTCTTACATGGAGGACAGAGAAAAGGTGTCCTTCGTGCAGGCGCAGGGTCCGAATCAGAAGAGCCTACTAAGTGGAGCTGCAATAGCAAGCTTCCTTGTGCTCTTTGGAGGGACTTAATCCAGAATTTCAAGAGTTGCAACCCAGGTAGGGCATATGCTAAGACCAAGAGAGCCACGGACTGAGCAGCAGAGTCTGCGGCTCTGTAAGGGTAAAGGAAAGCACATGGCTGCTTCCAGTCGGTCCTCTCACCTGCGACACACGCCTCCTTCCAGGGTCCATGACACTCACCTCGGCCTGCCACACAGGGTTCACGGTATTGCCCACGATCTTGGATCTCCTCTCCTGTCCGTGGTGAGGGAGGGCAGGGAAGATGCTATGCTTCCCGGGCTGAATTGATATCTTCAGGTAAGGGTCTGGGTTGAAAAACATCCCTTTCTTCAACCCCATGGCCTGGAAATCTATAAAACAAAAGGGTGTTTTGATTAAAATGTAGTTGAGTGAGGTTATAGGTCACATCAGGCCTTATCCAAAGAGAAAAGTCAATTAAAAAGTAGAACATTTTTTCAATATTTAGACTACTTTTCACATTATTACAAACATGGGCTGATATTTCTACAGGACTCACTAGACGGAGCATTTCCTGGCCTATATTACATTGGGTTTTGGTGAGAAATCCTTGCAATACACCAGTCCAGTAGGCATTCTGGTCACTACATATTTTATGAGAGGACCAGTGGCCCTTATTGGACTGAGTTTCTTGTGTCCTAAGGCAGATCAAGACAAAGGGGTTATGAGGGCCACTTTGGGACAGGGGGGTGGGCTCAGACAAAGGAGAATCAACTTTGGAAATTTAACAGTTCTAGGTGTCAAATTCCTCTACAAGGTAGAGAGGTAGGGAAAACAAGGGCTCTAGTTTCGTATTAAATGTGAACCTCATCGAGTAAAGAGAGAGGATAATGAATGAGCATTAGGAGTGATAAAGAGAACGGAGAGAATTAAGACAGCAAAGAAGATAGAGAATGAAGGGAAGTAAAAGGAAATACGACCTCCATGGTCCAGAGTACATACTGGAGGGGAGACCTTTGAGAAATCATGTGGTCAGAGAGATTGACTGGCAATAGAACTGTTCATTTAATTGAGGCTATCTTAGAATGTATGATTTTGTGCTCTCCTAAGACAGAGAGAGGAGGAGAGAGAGAGGGAGGAAGAGAGAATGGGTTCAAACATAAGCTCATTTGTCTGATGGTTTATAGTTGTTTTGAGATAGTTGGAAATTGCTTCAAAGTTATTGGAAGTATATTTATGATTTCAAGGAATATAGTTCTTAAAACTGTTCTGTCACTGAAGTATTTTTCAAACAAAATTAGTCACATAGGGAGCAGGTGTTGTGGTCCAGCATGTGGAACCTCTGCATATATCGCTGGCATCCCATATTGGAGCACTGGTTTCCGAATCAGCTCCCTGTTATGTGCCACAGAAGACGGCCCAGGTTCCAGAGTCCTTGCCACTCATGGGGAAGACCCAGATGGAGCTCCAGTTTCTTGGTTTCTGTCACGTGGCTGTGGCCATTTGTGGGAGTGAACCAGCAGCTGGAAGACATCTATCTTTATGTCTGTCTTTCTCTCTCTCTCCCTCTCTCTGACACTCTGCCTTTCAAATAAAAAAATCTTCAAAAAATGTTACTACATGAAACAAAGTGTAGTAAAGATATACCCAGTTAGTGATTCTTAACCATGGTACAAATTGTGAGGCATTTAAATAATTTATTACTAATAAAGAGGTAGATGTCTTCAGGTCCATTTACTCAGAAGTTATTTTGAGTTGATTCAAAGTTATCTCCATAAAATTATTCTATTCTCTTGTGTTATATTTTCAAGATGGAAAAAAGTTCAGAAAGTTTAAAAATTATGGAAATTTGCCACACCTAGGCAATACCCACTGGAGTGTGTGCAGATGAAGTCTACGTAGCAGCCTGAGGCTACCGGCCTAAGAAAATCCTATTTCTAAGGGTGGCTCTTGGGTAATGACTGTGAATGTAGATTTCGGGAGGTTCCCACTGAAACCCAGGATTTTAGTTCTAATCCCACGACTGGTACGAGTGCCTCACTCTGCTTCAACTGCTTGTGGAAACTCTGATTTATGACGAACACGGTTTTCCCTCTGGAAGTCTGGAATTTGAATAGGTGTTCTGCTTAAAGGTGCCCACATGCCTTGAACAGCCTCGCAAATAGAAACCCTGGGCACTGGGTCTCTAGCAAGCATCCCGATAGACAACATTTCACTCACAACATCACAACATGTGCTGGGGGAAACAAAATGGCCTGTGTGGCTCCACTGGGAGAGGTCCCTCGCAGGCTTGTTTCTGGTTTTCTCCATATCTGCTTTGATTTGCTTTGTGTCTGTTCACTGCAATACATCAGAGCCATGCTAAAACAACCCAAAAATAATACATGCTGGTGAGAAAGCAGGGAAAATGGTACCTAATCCACTGTCAGGAATGCGAACCAGTGCAACCATTATGGAAGTCAGTATGGAGTCTCCTCAGAAAGCCGAACATAGATCTACCATATGACCTAGCCATCCCACTCCTGGAAAGTTACCCAAATGAAATGAAATCAGCTTATGAAAGAGTTATTTGTACCCCCATGTTCATTACAGCTCAATTCACAATAGCTAAGATATGGAATCAACCCAGATGTCCGTCAGTTGATGACTGGATGAAGAAAGTATTGTGTATATACACTATGGAATAGTACTCATCCATAAAAAAGAATGAAATCATGTGTTTGGCGTCAAAATAGATGCCACTGGAAACCATTAAGCTTAATGAAATAAGCCAGTCTCAAAAAGACAATATCACGTGCTTTCTCTTATATGTAACAGTTAATACAGAAGACACAAAAGAGCATAGGAATGAAATGGATCTCTTGGGACATGACTGCTGTTTTTAGCTCTTGTTTATCCTCCTGTGGAACTGTAGTCTTCCTACTTTTTACTTGTTGAATGTGATGGTTAGTGGTGAATTAAGCCTGTGAATATAGAGTGGATTAAAATTACATCTTTGCAAAAACTAATGAAAGAAATAAAGGGGAGGGAGAAAGGGGTATTGGGGATAGAGGGGGAGTAAGGGAAGTGTGGTTGTCTTCTTGAACATGTAACTATTAGTGCATGGAATCTGTTCTCTTTATATTAATAAAAAAGAGAAAAGTACTAAACATGTTAAATGCCTTTATCATACATGTGAAAATTAAAAAAAAACTTGCTAACACATTTATTCTTCCAGATAGATCTTGTTAATGACATCCTTAAAACTTGAGACATTTGATTGGAATTGCATGGAATTGCGTGGATTAGTTTTTTTTTAAAGATTTATTTATTTATTTGAAAGTCAATTACACAGAGAGACAAGAGGCAGAGAGAAAGAGAAAGAACAAAAAGAAGAAAGAGGGAGAGAAAGAGAAAGAGATAGAGAGAGAGAGAGAGAGAGAGAGGTCTTCCATCCGATAGTTCACTCCCTAATTGGCCACAATGCCTGGAGCTGCACCAATCTGAAGCCAGGAGCCAGGAGCCTCTTCTGGTCTCCCATGCGGGTACCGGGGCCCAAGAAGTTGGGCCATCCTCCACTGCTTTCCCAGGCCATAGCAGAGAGCTGGATTGGAAGAGGAGCAACCAGGACTAGAACCAGCACCCAAATGGGATGCCGGTGCCGCAGGCAGAGGATTAACCCACTGCGCCACAGCGCCCTCCCAAGGGTTTACACATTTAAATTCAGTCTGGACATATACTGAAAAATGTGTTCATGGAGTAAAAGTGTTGGAAAACTGGGGCAGTAAGATGTAGAACTAAAAAGACAATGGACTATGAGTCACTGTGCCTAGATTTTATTCTGGAACACTCACCATGAAAGTTTGTAACTTAGGGAAAATCAATTTAACTCTTTTATATCTCAGTTTTTTTAGATCTGAGATTGTTGAGTAGATGTCTCTATAGGCATATGGAGTTCTATGATTTTCCCAAAGTAAATTATATTAATGAGAGACTACTTAATTTCTTTCCATCTTGCCTATATTAATTTTTGTGTTCTGATGATAAATACATGCATACTTAATGTAATATTTTTAAAGGAAGGAAAAGAGATAAAGTTTTTAACTTATCTCAAGCTATACTCCCAACGGCAACCATTACCAGACTTTTCCTCATTTCTTCACATACTTTTCTTTGCATAGTTGAGAACAGACTGTTTATTTAACATGCAGCCTGGATTTTTTTTGACTCTTGCCTTACTTTATATAAGTGGGAGACCAGAATATACCATCTCACAAAATGGGGCTCTGGTATAAAGATTATTTTGAGCTGAAGGCAATTAACAAGAAACGAACATAAGAAATGCTCTCTGCTTTCCTTCTGTTTGCCTAAATAACAGGGTACACATTTAAAAAGGTGTCCCTCCTCTCCTCTCTACCAGGAAGGGTGAAGGTTGATTCCTGGAGAGAACTTTAGACCTTTACCAAGCAGGAGACAGTGCCAGAGGAATCTGCCTAACTAGTTTTACTAACTAGCAGTTCCATCCCATGACTTTCCCACAATTTGCTGACCCAGAGACTCAAGTTCCCTTTCTTTGTCTTACTGTGTTGAGAAGGCTTCATAAGCTGGAGTTGTAGGCCACCTCTTGGAAATTTACTCCTTTTCCCTGGCTCTCTCCCATGTATACATGAAATACATGTTAATAAACATGTATTTTATTTCTCTCTTGTTGATATATCTTTTGTTACAGGAAGTGTCCCCAGCTAAGAACTCAAGAACAGTAACGGGAAAATGATTTTTCCACTCCTACAATATCACAAGATGTTCTCATGTCTTTTGGACCATTTTGTATATCTAATTCTTAAGAGTGCATGGTATTTAATGGCTAGACTCTATGGTAATTTATTTTATCAGTACCTGATTTGGAATGTTTACATTATCTCCAATATATTTATGAACACATTTTAATTTGCATTTCTGATTTTTTTAAGTTAATGGGCTAAAAGTATAATTTCTTGACTATTAAAGGGATGAGATTCAGGAAAATTATTACCCCTGAGAAGTGGTGAAAATGTAAATATAAGTAGATTTGAGAAGCTGCCATTTACATAAATAATCTTGGTTTTCAAATTTTTATTAATATAAAGAGAACCAATTTCATGATTTCCATAGATAAAATTCTAAGAAGATAACTATACATCTCTCCTTCCCTCTCAACCCACCTCCCTCTTTCCTTTTTTTCCTTTAATTTTTGCTATAACATGATTTGAGTTTACTGTTCATTATATTTTTGAAGCTTTCCAGACAAGGTGATTCCATTACATATCTGCTGGTTTTCTCTCCTTTTAAATCCTAAAAAGCAAATTGATCTTTTTATGGCACTCTCTCCAACTTTTAAGTTTCCTGGCATATTTTTCTCTATATGTGGGGAGTACGTGTTCACATATTACTGTGAAGTAAGGTGCAAAGATGATGTTCTCTGAGCCCTCACACACTGAAGTGTCACCCACATAAATGCTAATCTGGTGGTCACAGAAATTTGGCTTTAAATATCCTACCCTCGTAACTGTAGACTTTGCTGCATCATTTTGTCATCTCATAGGACAAGTTCAAGACTAGCATGAGGTTTTCTCTTATAAACATTATGCCTTTTCAGCCCAAATGTTTACTGCAGTTACACAGACTTTTCCCCCACTTTTTACAAACTGAGATTTGTCTCGCTGTGGTTCTCTATATGTATCTTTTTTCATAGCCCCTCATGATCTTCCTTAAAGACTCAAAATCATCTTCCTAAGGAAATTTTCTTCTACTACTGTTTCTGCTCAATCTGTTGTGATTTAATAGTCAAAAGCACTGACCATGTGTTTTTCCTGTGTGTGCTGTCTGTTCCTCGCTTTCCATCCCCATCCTCCTTGTGCTTTGCTCTCCATCTGTGCGTTCTAGGGTGATTCTTATAGCATTGATTCCAGCTCTGCCGTGCTTAGCGTGGCCCATCCTGCCTTTGAAACCTGGCTTTTGTTTTCTGTGATTGCACTTTCTAGAGTTTATTTTAAATGTCTCCTTGAGTGCTGCAGACATAATGGTCCCACCAAGATGCCGATGTTCTAATCCCTGGAACTCATGACTGTCTTACCTTACATGATATAAATGAATGTCAGGTGTGATTAAGTTTAGGATCTCAGTGTGGGAAACTTATCCTGGACTGTGGAGGTGGGCCTAGTGAATCACAGTGGTCCTTATAAATGGAGGCAAGAAAGGTGAAGTGCGAAGAAGACAATTCCATAACAGAAGCAGAGATGGAAGCCATCAGCCGTGAGCCCAAGAAGGCTGGCAGCCTCTGCAAGCTCAGAGGTAAGGAATTGGATTTGCAGTGGAGCCCCTGAGGAAGCAGTCTTGCTGACAACTTGATTCTATTTCTTAAGATATACTCTGGACTTCCCACCTCCATAACAGTCAGAATCTGTCTGTAATGTTTTGAGCCACTCAATTTGTGGTAATTTATTACAGCAGAGATAGAAACTCAAGTGTATTAGTTTCCTAAGTTTTTATTTTTGCCAGTTTCAAAGAACCCTCTTATCATCATTTCTCATCTTAGCTCTTTTACTTCATATATCTTGTGCTTTCTAGTGTTTTATTGAAGCTTCAAGCAGATGAGTTATAAATACTTTATGCCTTTTTAGTAGGTACATGTGGACAGGATGCTTTCTTTTTCCCGTAAGTGTTATCTTCTTCAGGTTTCTTTTTTTTTTTTAACTTGAGCTATATATTTTCAAGTTAAAATTTCCATGATTTATCCATGAACAGGTCTTGCAGTTCTGGCATTTGCCCATCTATAGTTAATTTGGTTACTCAGCTGGTTGCTGTTGGACTCCTTGTCCCTGCTTTGTATTCAGAGCTGACCAGCACTGAATCAAGTTTTTGATACCCTGTGGACTTTACTAAGTTATGGATTTGCTGATCTTTCTTCCTTGACTTTCTTTGCAGTATGCAATTTATTTAGATACTTTCAGTAGTGTTCACTCTTTTTGTTAGATAAACATACAAATCTATTCCCAGCCCCTCATGTTACACTTCCATGACCATTCCAGGCCTACTCCTTTAGTTGCTAACTATATATCCCCACAGTTACATTTTTGGGAATTATTTCCATGGAATAAGTATAAGAAAAATGATATATTAGGTGGGAAGTGAGCCAACCTTATAAAGTAGCTTAGTGAACCAATTTCCTTTTGTCTAGTGGGTCTGAGCCCTGGTTTACATGGTAGTGCTAAGATGGGAACCAAGGACTGGAGACTTTGCCCCTTCCCTATCTCCATCCCAATTTCCTGAGCAGGTAGACCTCTTGGACTTCAGGACTTCACTAGAGTTTGGTTACAGAAATTCCTCTTGGTTTCTGGCATATAGTTGTGTTGGAGTCTAGGTTTTTACTGTTTTTGAAGCTTGGTAGTAATAATTGTTATTTCTCAGTCATTTTAACAGGATCACAAGAATAGCAAATCCAAAGTTGTTAACTTTTGTCTTAGCAATACCCTAGGTTTTTTTTTCCTCCCCCTTTTATTTTTCAGCCTAGATAGACACATGCTACTGTTGTCAATAGATCTTTAGACACACATTGGTTTTCTAGCTCACTTAATCTTAAATAACCTCAGTTGACTGTTGCCTGAGGAGGGTCATGCATTTCACATCTATGGCTTTTGATCTCTGATTTTCAGTTTGGCAAGCTAAGGGGGTAGTTTTCAGATGGTGTTCAACAGCATCTTAGGGCTTCACGCCATTGTGTCTTCTTAAAGACCACTCAGCGTGAAACCAAATGTGTGAAGCCCTGAGCTTTGGACATTATTTTGGCCATAGCATCTCAGTTTCTCTTGTAAATGTTTAATTTTGAAATAATTTTAAATTTACCAGAGGAGTTCCAAAGATACTTCAAGTATTTCCCACATACTCCACCAAGTTTGTCTCATTGATAAAAATTGCAAAAATGATGTTACATTCAGGAAAACTAAAATATTAACTTACTCTTAACTATTACACTAAAATACTGTTAACCAACTTAACAGACTATTTGGGCTCCACTGGCTGATTGCCATGGACGTGCTGTTTTGAACAGAGTAGTTTTTGTTTCACCCACTTGGCTCCTCAGGGAAGTTTCACTTGGACCAAGAGCTGACAGCCACTTCTCTCATTAGGCTTCCTACAACCTTCCCTTTCTCAACTCAGTCACTGCTACTTGGTCTTGGAGGAAAAGCATAATGGCAGCCTCTCTTCCTATCGTCTCAAAGTGCTTCCCCACCCAGTATTTACCAAATTCTCCATTATCCTTGTGATGTCAGATGGAGACACTGAGGCACAGAGGTGGAGTAACTTGGAGGTGACAGACAAATGAATCAGGCCTCATGACGGTCAGCTGACATTCTTAGTCCCTCTATAAGGCATCTAGGTGAGTAAAACATACCTGAGAGAGAAAAACTGATCAGTCTCCTACTTCCTTGCCCTTGGACAGTCTCATCAGCGCCAATGCTCTTAAAAATCTGTAAGAAGAAGGGAAATTGAAGGAAAACAAGCATTGAAATAGATACATTCCAACGCAAGCACACTTAATCACCACTATTTCTGCAGCTAAAGGCAATGAAGACGGAGTGTTGGGATTTCATGGGACAACGGTTGATTAAAACAAGCTTCTAGGAACTTAATGTCTTTCCCAGTTACAGAAGATTTGCTAATGGGAGTGAGAAATACTTTTCAGAGAAATTATAATCAACAAATACAATTACAGTAATAAGATAGGCCTTTTGTAACTACTTATGCAAACAACACCATTTCACATTCAGATTTGCAGAAAGTGTTCATCAAAGGTCAATAGATGTTTACTGTTGTAATTATAATATGTTTCTGTTTAGCAAAGTACATTGTTAAACTGATGTGTATTTATGTATTGTCATTATTTAGGGATTTCCAGGCAATAATTTATTAGGGAGGAGCCAGAGCATGGCATTTAGAATCTACTCTACGATCTTAGTTAATTGCTTCCTCAGAAATTTCAAAATATGACTGTTATCCACAATCTGGTAAGGAGTTGTAAACCAGGCTGCTTAAATTTATTTTCCATAATTGCTCAAAATATATTAATAAGTTAATAAAAATAGAGTCTCAGCTTCCATTCTCTTCTAGAAAGATTTTATTCAGAAATGATTATTTAAAATTGTTTATTTATTTATTTGAAAGCAAAAGAAGAGAGACAGAGAACAGACACAGACACAGATAGACAGAGATTTGGTTCTCTTTCCAAATGCGTGCAACAGCCAGGGCTGAAGCAAACAGAAACCAGCAGGCTGGAACTCGATCCCGGCCTCCCATGAGGGTGGTAGGGACCATTACTTGAGCCATCACCTGCTGCCTCCCCAGGTGCACATCAGCAGGGAGCGGAAATGGAAAGTGGAACTGGGACTCAAACCCAGGGACTCCAATACGGGATGTGGGCATCCCAAATGGTGACCAATTGCTGCACTGAACACTTGCCCCAGAAATGATTTTGAGTATCTACTTGAAGGCCAAATAACTCCTTATAGTTGCCTTTACATGTGTTGTATGTTTCCAGAAAATAATTTTAAAAGTGAATGTTAGGCAAATACACAGTGTTCAATTTTTAAAAGATTATATTAGTATTAAAGAAGAAAGATTAGAAAACTCAATAATGCCTTGCTCAAGGTTTCTCTGTGTAGATTGTCTTAGTTTATTACCTTTCTTTCATCTCTCAGTATTTTTTTTTTTTTTTTTTTTGGACAGGCAGAATAGACAGTGAGAGAGAGAAAAGAGACAGAGAGAAAAGTCTTCCTTTACTGTTGGTTCACCCTCCAATGGCCGCTGCGGCCAGCGCACTGCACTGATCCGAAGCCAGGAGCCAGGTGCTTCTCCTGGTCTCCCATGCGGGTGCAGGGCCCAAGGACTTGGGCCATCCTCCACTGCACTCCTGGGCCATAGCAGAGAGCTGGAATGGAAGAGGGGCAACCGGGACAGAATCCGGCGCCCCGACCAGGACTAGAACCCGGTGTGCTGGCGCCGCAGGTGGAGAATTAGCCTATTGAGTCGCGGCGCTGGTAATCTCTCAGTATTCTTAATGTAGTAAGAGTTGTGACTGGATGTTCTTTCAGCCTGCCAGGACTAATGACAGCACATGTGGGGCTCACAGCTTCAGGGAGGTCCAAAGAAATTATTAGACCACATCCTTATGTTAAAGCAGTTTGGTGATGAGCCTGTGAGCTTGGCTGCAGCTTGTGGGCAAATCTTGGGATGTTTTCCCTAGAACCCAAGCACGAGGGCATCTCAGGGCTACTGAGCTACTCAGCAGTGGGAGCCAACGTGGGGGACACATGGATTTGGGCTTGTCATCAAGCGAGATAAGAGATGCTCTTTCTCTTTAACAGGTGTCCATCTCCTAGAGCCTCATCTGATAATTAAGAACCAGAGTAAGACATGGCCAGGGCTGGTGAGGCAGAATGCTGGCTTCTCCAAGGCTTTAGCCCCTTTACATGGGAGGGCCCACTCCTTCCTACCTTGTATTTGCTCTCCTCACTCACTGGCTGACATGGAGAGATGGAGCTCAACAAACAGCTCAGACTCCATTTCAGGTTGCACCACTATTATTCTTTTTTTTATAATTTTTTTTAAATTTTTTTATTTATAGTTTTTTAAAATTTTTTTTCTTCTTTTTCCCCTGACCACTATTATTCTATTCTATTCTATTCTATTCTATTCTATTTGAAAGACAGAGTTACAGAGAGAGGTAGAGACAGAGAGGCCTTCCATCCACTGGTTCACTCCTCAGATGGCCACCACGACTGGAGCTATGCCAATCTGAAGCCAGGAACCAGAAGCTTCTTCCAGGTCTCCTGCAAGGGTGCAGGAGCCCAAGGACTTGGGCCATCTTGTACTGCTCTCCCAGGCCACAGCAGAGAGCTGGATCAGAAGAGGAGCAGCCAGGACTACATCTGGCGCCCTATGGGATGCCAGTGCTTCAGGCCAGGGCTTTAATCCATTGTACCACAGTGCCAGCCCCTGCACCACTCTTGACTCTGAAAGTGCCCGGTCTTCAGTGGCTTGATCAGGGCTTAAAAATTCATTAACAATGAGGACTTTTCAACTTCTTCAATCCTCTGCCTGGTGCCAGCATTGTGGTACATCAGGTTAGTGATGCTGATGCCAGTATCTCATATTGGAGCACCAGTTCCAGTCTCAGCTGCTCTGCTTCCTATACAGCTCCCTGCTAATGCTCCTGGAAACACATCAGGAAATGGCCCAAGTACTACTTACTTGGGAAAGCAGTGCTTGGGAATGGAGTGCTTGGCTTCTGGCTTTGACCTGACCCCAATCCTGGTGGTTGCAGCCATTTGGGGAGTGAACCAGTGGAGGGGAGAGCTCTTTCTCGCTCACTCTGTCTTTCAAATAAATAATTTTACAAAACCAACCTGGGAAACAGTCATGGGAGACTTCAGCAGGGTGACTACATGCCTCTCCACAGTGCTGTACTTGCACAAGTACAATCAACTGTTAAAGTCTCTGGTTCCTGATTCTAGTGCAAACACATCCACATCTACTTTGTTGCCTTAAAATACAAGTTTCTAGAAGAAACAACAAAAACTAATTTTACTAGACCTTGACAAAATTACATCTAGAGTGTGTCCATTCCAAATGATATATAAAAGGTTTAGGAGGGGTTGGCACTGTGGCATACTAGGTTAAACTCCCCCCCTGTGAAAACAGCACACCATATGGGCACTGGTTCATATCCTGGCTGCTCCTCTTCCAATCCAGCTTTCTACTTATGGCCTGGGGAAGCAGTAGAAGATGACCCAAATGCTTGGGCTCCTGCACCCACGTGGGAGACTTGGAAGAAGCTCCTGGCTACTGGCTTCAGATCAGCCCAGCTTTGGCCATTGCAGCCATTTAGGGAGTGAACCAGTGGATGGAAGACCTTTCTATTTCTCCCTCTGTCTATAACTCTCTCAAATAAATAAATAAATAAATCTTTAAAAATGGTATAGGAATTAACTGCCTATCTCACGGTAGGCTAAAATGAACTTAAATATGCAATGACAACAAAGGAGAGTGCATTTATTTCTTTTTTATAAGAAACAGATCTATTTTTAACAACATCCTCTGTTGGCTGTTCAGGGAATTTGCAAAGAAGGCTTTTCATCTTTACTACAACAACAACAACAACAAAACATCCGTGGGAGAGGGTGCTGTGGCACAGCAGGTCAGGACATCCATATCCCGTACTGGAGTGCCAACTTGCATCCCAGCTACTCTGCTTCCAACCTAGCTCCCTGCTAATCTGCACCTTGTGGGGCAGCAGAAGATGGCTCAAATGCTGGGGTCCCTGACACCCATGTGGAAGACTGAATGGAGTTGTGGACTCCTGGCTTTGGCCTGATCAAGCCATGGCTGTTATAGATATTTGGGGAGTGAACCAGCAGATGGAATATTATCTATCTATCTATCTATCAATCATCTCTCTGCATCTGCCCATGTGCGTATGTCTTTGCCTTTTAAGTACATAAAAATAAAAAAATATAAAAACAGGTTTATGACAAAACTAAGTATATTTTTTCAGAATCTGCTAAGACCAGTGGGGAGACACACATCATTTTAACTCCATGCAATTCTGCCTACATTCTTAGCTTTTTACTAATGCCATTTATGGAGTCATTTAAGCACCAGCCTGATGATGTGAAAATGAAGGCAGCAGTGGCCACAACAGAAAGTTTCCAGAGTCTTGGGAAGCAACATTTTCCCAGTCTTGGGAAGATTTGATAGCCTGACTTCTAGGTTGGGATGAGTGGTAGCCGCATGTCTGAGGTTAAGAAATCTGCTGATCTCACAGACATACACTATAGGGTTTGCTGCCTGTGAAAATAACGTGAAGATCCAGCCAGAATAGCTTCACCTTGCAACAAGCTGAGGCTGCCAGGCACATCCGGGAGACCGCTGCTCTTCTTCCGGCTGACACTGTCCCTCATGCCCCGTTAGTATTTTAGCCACTCTGGTCCCTGTGGCTCTCTGAGATGCCATTCCAGCAGTTTCTCTGTATGTTTTGCAAACAAACATTTCTACAACCAAGCCTACTAGGCAAATGGTTTAACAGATTCTAAACCAAACCTATTGGTGGTGTGCAAAAGATTCTGTAGATACTGGGAGTAGAATTAAATTGGGCTTGGGGGGGGAATACATTTTCTTGTATCTTTCCTATTCTCCTGCTCATTTTCTCTTTAGATGTGCTTTTTGAAGATTAGAAGCACAAGATTGCAACACTGATGTACATCTGCACTGCTGCAGTTCAGCACACAGTGAAGATCAACTCCTTCCCCTTGGTAGGAAACTTGTGTTTCAACAGTGCAAAGACTTGCAGCGCAGTGGACAGGGCTCCCTCAGCCTCTGCTCTCTACTTTGGTATTCAAATTCTACCTTCTTCTGCACAGCATCACTGCAGGAAAGATGAGGCAGTTTGCTAAAAATACACATTAGCATCTAA